ATATATATATATATATATATATATATATATATATATATATATATATATATATATATATATATATTTTTACGAAACCGACCAACTTTGGTCAGTTTTCTTTGGCGCAAAAAAGTGGGAAACTATTTTTGAGTCTCGCGATTTTTCTTTTCAAGAAACCGACCAACTTTGATCAGTTTTTTATTTAAAATAAATTAAAACTAATATTAAAAAAACCGACCAAAATTGGTCGGTTAATTCGGCCGGTCATTTTAAAAAATCGACCAACTTTGGTCGGTAATTTTATTTTTTAATAAAACCGACCAATTTTGGTCGGTTATTTTCGTGCGAAAATACAATTAAAGAGTATAAATGAAATAAAAGACAGTCTTAAAACAGAATGCACCAATGGTCTAGTGGTAGAATATTATCCTGCCATAGTACAGACCCCGGTTCGTCCCATATGGTGCATTTTTTAATTACATAATTAAAATACCGACCAACTTTTGTCGGAAACAACCGGCCAACTTTGGTCGGTTTTTTTGGCAATATATATATATATATATATATATATATATATATATATATATATTTTAATTTAATTTAATTGACCGACCAAAGTTGGTCGGCAATTTCCGACCAACTTTGGTCGGTATGCCCTTCCGACCTTCAAAATACCGTCCACACGTAAATGGTCGCATTTTTGACGGTTATTGGTCATTACCGACCAACTTTGGTCGGTTTTTTTGGACGGTTTTGCCCGATTTCTAGTAGTGTTTTTCAGGTTTCTCGGTTTTTTTTATTACATGAATATTATTTCAATCTTACTTTGTTAAATTTTTTATAAGTAAATACTTCCTCCGTTCCAATTTATGAACCTATTTGATTGGGCACGAAGTTTAAGAAAAAATGAAGACTTTTAGAATTTATGGTCCTAAACAAGTTAAAAAGGTGTCCAGAGTATTTATGTGGTTATAAAAACTTCTCATTAAGGGTAGAATTGGAAGTTCAAGCTAAATTGTTTCCAAATTTAGAAAAGGGTCATTCTTTTGGGAACGGACCAAATAGGAAATAGGTTCATATAAACTGGAACGGAGGAAGTATATATTTAGTAAAAATTGAAAAAATTGACAAACATATAATCTATTAAAATATTCTTATGGCAGAATTTTCTTAGTAACACATGATAGTTATTTTTTTAGTCGTTTGACAATAATTTTTCGTCGATATATTTAACCGGATTTAATAATTAAACATAAAAATCAATATGCTACCTATATAATGATATATTCAATTTAATGTTAAATTATCGAAATACCACTTCAAATCCAAAAAAAATATAAGAATTTAATAAATCTTGACATATGGATATGGAAGAACAAAGAGATTGACGCATTTTACTAACACTTGATAAGAAAGTGATCATACAACCCGTTATTTAAAGTTAATAAAAATGAGCACTTTATATTTAACTAAATATTACATCCCATAAGAGAATCGCAAAATTTCTAGATATTTTTTAAAGAAAATTCTATAAAAAGTCTTAAAAGTATATATAAAAATTATATATTTATATGTCGGTTTGGTTCGGATTTTTTTACTCAATAACAAACAAAATCAAACCAAACCTAGTCGGGTTTTTTAATCTGTTTGGTTTGACTTTTCGGGTTGGTGCGGATTTTCCGGTTCGGTTTGTACACCCCTACTTCTTATAGTAAATGTGAATCCATTGCACCCTCATCTTGTCCCTTTTCTTGCATAAATTCCACAGGAGTTTGCAAACAGCTACCCTATTCCATGTTCCTACATCAAGTAGATTCAATCCACCTGCTGCTTTAGGGTGGCATAGTTTGTCCCAAGCCAGTAGTGCTTTCTTTGATACCTCCATCCCTCCAGTCCATAGGAATCTTCGACACACATTTTCAATTAGTTGAATCAGCTTCTTTGGCAGCAGAAAAACCTGGGACCAGAACACTTGAATAGAAAGGAGAACACTTTTAATGAGTTGTATTCTCCCTGCATAAGATAGAAACCTTGAAGTCTATGACTGGATCCTCCCTAACATCTTCTCAATGAGAGGCTGGTATTGAACTAATGATAGTCGTTTGGTACTTAGGGGCACTCCCAGATATCTAATCGGTAATGTCCCTTTTGAAAAGCCTAGGACTTGCAATATCTCCTGTCGCATATCAGTACTTACTCCTCCAAAGAAAATAGAGCTTTTGTCAGCATTAGTAATTAATCCTGAAGCCTTTGAGAAATCCTGGAAGCACTTATACAACAATTGCACAAATATGATAGCATCTCTACAGAAGAGCAGTAAATCATCATCAGCAAAGCTGAGTTGGACAATATTCATTTTGGCACACTTAAGATGGTAATTGAAATTAGGATCCTTCCTGAGTGTTTTCAGAAGCCTGGTCAAGTATTCCATAGCCAACACAAATAGATAAGGAGACAAGGGGTCTCCCTGTCTCAAACCTTTTTTTGCCTGGAATGGTGTTGTAGGTTGCCCATTGATGATGATGGAATATGAGACAACTGTCACACACCTCATAATCCATTGCACAAACTTCACTAGGTGCTGCAAATTTGTCAACACCTGTTCCAGATAACCCTATTCAACAGAATCACTTCCTCTTCAATTCCTTGCTTTGTTTGCACCAGATCCCCATTAACCCTTATTAATCTTCTCATCTTGTTTTGGGTGTATCTGCTCTTCATGCTTGCAAAGAAGTATATTGTATTAGTATCTCCTAGTTGCAGCCATTGTACTCTTGATTTCTGCTTCATAATACTTTCCTCCATCCCTAGCCATTTCTCCAATTGTGTCTTCATGTCTTTCTCTGCTGCAACCATAGCCTCTGATTGCCCAAGGGCCCTCATTTGTTCCTGCATATCACATAGTTGTTGTTGTTTTATCCGATTGTCAACTGCATTGTACTCAGCATTATTTAAAGCCTTCATAGCTTGCTTTACTCTTTTCAGTTTCTTCTATGTATCCTTCATAGTATTCTGCTTAGTTGACCTCTCCCATGCTTTACTGACTAGTGTCATAAAGTCTTTATGCTCTCCTAAGTGATTTAGGAATTTGAATGGTTTAGGAGTTTTATCTTCAAACTCTTCGAATGTTATGCTCAGTGGGGAATGATCAGAGCAGGATGGATCCATGACCCATACTTCTAGGTGTGGCATAGTCAATATCCACTCAACATTAACCAAAGCTCTATCAATCTTGCTATAAGTGTGCCCATTAGTCCATGTAAAGCTTCTCCCACTAATCTTCATTTCTGTCAGCCCAGTATCTACAATGAAATTATTAAAGTCTATAATCTCCATTTCTTGTATAGGGTTACCAATTGGTCTGTCTTCTCCTGATCTGATAGCATTGTAGTCACCCATTATCAACCATGGACCTTGTTGTATGGCATGTAAGCTTGTCAGGTCACTCCATAAACTTCTCCCGTCATCCAAAGTGTGCAGCCCATAAACAACTGTAAAAGTAAACCTCATACTCAAGTCTCTTAATGTTTACTGAAGCATGTATGAACTGAGATGATCTTCCCAACTCCATACAGTCTACCTCAATTGTATCCCACAGTAGCCAGATTCTACCTCTACTACTATACTCATAGTTATCTAGCCATGCCCATCCAGGAGTGATTTTCCTGATTACTTGCATGGCCTTCTGCTCTAGTAGTGCAATCATAGGAACTTTATTACTTCTAATGAACAACTTGACCTCTTTTTGTCTAGGGGTCTTGTTTAGTCCCCTTATATTCCATGTGACCAGCTTCATACAGGTATAAAGAGGGATTGTGCAGGCCCATCCTGCCATGTTATACCTCTCTGTCTACTTGTTCCTTCACATGCCTTGGTACTGTTAACGGTAGTCTAGACTCTGTGAGAAGATTAAAGCCATTGATCACATTGACTGTTTCAGCTGCTTGTCTCTCTCTGCTTCCGGCTGCTGATTTCCCTATAAATGTCTGCCACGCTTGGTCCTCATCTCCTTTAGTTGATCCTGCACTAGTGCTTGCATTTTCTACCGCACTAGGAGGTGCCATCTTTTGTTGACCTTTGTCAGCTATAGGTGCTTCCTGCACTTTTATTTTTATCACAGGTTTAGGCTGCCATTCCTACTTTTGCTTCTGACTTTTAGGCTTAGGTTTTTGTCCTAGCTGGTCATATGTTCTGCACTTGTGACCTACTTGCATACATTTGTGGCAGAATTCAGGTAACCAATCATACACTACCTACTGCATGAACTTCCTCCCATTAGGATCAGTCACCTTAATGGATCTAGGTAGTTATTTCGTAACATCCATCTCAACCAACACTCTAGCATAGGAAATTCGATCTAGTTGAGTAGTGCAAGCATCAGCATATAGAGGAATTCCCAAGCCACTACTAATCCGGCTCAGTGACTTATTTCCCCAACAATTCAGAGGAAGGTTAGGGTACTTGACCTACACTGGATGGTCTGTAAAACTTCTTTGTTAAAATCGAAATCAGCAGACCAAGCTTTCATTAGAATAGGTTTATTGTTCAACATGTAAGGTCCTGAATACAGCACTTCATCTCTGTCATCATTGGAATTGAATCTTACCACAAAGTATCCATCATTGTGGAAATATACTTTTGGTTTTGTTGCGAAGTTCCAAGCTAAAGCAATGAATCGTTCCATGGCTCCTATAGTTGGAGTTCCTCCAACAACATGCAGAATTAGAGCTTGCTTCCACTTCTGAGTTTCCTCCTCGACTTCTTCCTTACAGAGTTCAACAATTACCTCACCATTTTTTAGAGTTGGGGCAGTAAAGTCAGATCCATTTGCTGCAAGTCGGTTTCCCATGAATAGATTTGCCCATGTTTTTGACCTGTCGCGACATCAACAGTTGGCAATTTCCTTTGAGGTTTAATCGCCGTACCTGTATCCCCAATTGCACCTAATTCTCCAGTAATCTCTATAGGATTCCTTTCGATTGTCTCAGTTTTACTAGAGCTAGGGTTTGCATGTTTCGTCGGAGCTCCAAAAGCTACTTTCTCACTACTAATTACCTTATCACAAGGAGTTTTCATACCTTACTTTGTGGCTGACAATGGCGGCCACTGTTCCATTGGTGTTTTCCCTGCTTCTTTGATCATAGTACTCTATGTTCCCAGACTTTGAGTGTTGCTGCTCATTTCTGTGCAATCAACCAGCTGGATCGTAGTTGCATTTCTCTTCGGCCTGCCCCTCCCCATTGCTGGTCAGCGTACGTTAGCACATGCACTCTATCGTGCGCTGCGCTGATAGAGAAGAGAGAATTACTACACACATAGTAGGTTAAAATAGCAGAAGCTATCAAACAACACTAAGATAACTCATTTGTAGTCGTGACAAGCAGTGGCGGAATGAAAAATTTATACAAGGGGATTCAAAAAAATTCTAGGATGTCATAGTTGGAATTTGAACATAATGACCCAAAGCAATTTTGAACCCCCTTTACTACTAAACGTGATTTTTTCTTCATATCAAGGGGATTCAACAGCTCACATGTAACAAAGAGAATTCATTCTTACTCTATTTATATTGTGTAATTTTCTGACGAAGGGGGTTCGTCCCTAGTTCCGTCCATAGTGACAAGTTCTCCAAGAAATTTCTTAAGTGGTTTATTTGTCTAAAACTACTTTCATGTGGGAAGTTACAATAGGGTATTGGTTTTGAATTCTATCAAAGAGCTTGCTCCATCGGTTTGTCGATTTAATTGTTTTGCTCAAGAACAAAACATTTTATGATCTCCATTTCTTATGCTTTTGCAATTGACATGATTGATGCATTATCATATGGCAGCATGGCAGGGGTAACAAGTAGCAATGTGAAATACTTGGCAAGTGCAATCCATGAAGTTACCAGAGTGTAGATATTAGTTAAGCTTAAATGGTAACCCGTTTTGGCTTGGTTGAGAATTAGTTTGTAGATTAAAGTCTGAAGGAAACCTTTCATATCAATATATACTCAGACCTCTTTATAATATTCATCCTCTATGACAACACTTTATTATAACGGCCAAATTTTCTTTAGAACCATTTTTTCATGTAATGTTATATATATGTTTTCCATAATAGTACTTCATTATAGCAGCCAAAATATTTTGGAACAAACGATGTTGTTATACAGAGGTTTGGTTGTATTTGATTCCTTAGTAAGGCCTTCTTTCCTAAGTAATATTACCATATACTTTTTTTCTCCAGAATGTTTATTAAGGAAAGATCAAGAGAAAGTTGAGGAGTTTTGTACAAAATTTCTGTTGAAGTTTGGGATGAGAAGTTCTCTAGTTCTTGATAGCATAGGAAGTGCATTAATTCATAGCATTCAAAATTTGTAGTTTAGCAAATTTTATAGGGCAAGGGACACATTTGGCCACTTGGCCAAAAATAATTACATCTGCTAGTAAAATAATTACTGCCAATTCAATTCCGCCTTAAAAAGATTGCCGATGATTTAGATATTAAGAAAGAATATATCATTAAAACTTGCCAAAATTTCACGGTATAGCCAGTTTTCGGACTGGTCAATCAAAAATAGCCAGCGTTTACCAAGTCAATAAAAAAGCCACCGTTTTGTTGCAATAGAGACCGGTCCAGCATAATATACTGGAGTTCGGTGCACTTGTGTATGAACTCCAGCATATTATGATGGATCGGTATACTTTGCTGGCTCCAGTATACTATACTGGAGACTGGAGCACTGGTGCTCCAAACTCCAGTATTATACTTGCTGGAACTCCAGTATATTATGCTGGAGTTCTAGTGTATTTATGCTGGAACTCCATCATATTATGCTGGAGTTCCAGCATACTATCCTGGAACTCCGTATAATATGCTGGAGTTCAAGTATACTTATGCTGGAACTCCAGCATAATATACTGGAGTATTTTCCGGGTTTTGAACAGTGTTTTCGCTCAGATTTATCTTTACATAAAAACTGGCTAAATTTCGATTACTTTTAAAATTGGGCTATTTTTGAACGACCAGTTGTAAATCTGGCTATTTTTAAAAATCACCCTTAAAACTTGAGGGGGTCCAGAGAAAACTTTAGGTGGTTATGGATCCTTTTCATTCTTCTTTTGTCATAAGGGTTTTAATCAAATAAAGACGATGGTGGAATTATTTTTGTAAGGATTTTGGTTTATTTCATCGAGGTAGGTTGTCTAATTAATGTGGAGTTATATAAGTAGTCTAGATCTCTCCTTGAAATAAAAAGACAAGATAGATGAAAGATGAACATTCTATAGATCTGCTTCTATTCCTAAATCTAAATGTTTGATACTTTTTCTTCTCTAAATTCAAACTAATATTTTAAAATATATCTTTCTTCTTTTATATATATATATATATATATATATATATATATATATATATATATATATATATATATATATATNTATATATATATATAGCATTCGCTAACTTATAGCACTTCTTGTATAGTTTTTGTGTATCTAAGTTTTTAATATGAATTAATCTAATTGATTTAATTCGCTTTAAAATTAGTCAAATTAATTACTGAATCCAGTAGCGTATGCAGGAATTTTTGTAAGAAGTATCGATATTTGAAAAAGTGAACAAATAAATTAATTATTATAACGACAAGCGGTGTCATTTTTTATATTTATACAAAATATGTTTATTTTTCTTATTATTTATACATAAATAATTACGAAAAAAATTGATGAAAGCGGTGTCATGTCACGTGTCATCGCTTATGACGTGACACCGCTTGAGATAAGGTGACTATGTCCTTGACCGGATGTACGTGAATGCAGAATGCTTTGTGCACCAGATTGTTTTTTTTTTCTTTTCCTTTTACGAAATATCAGTGTATATAGGAATAACACGCATTCAAAGGCCTACCATCGAAACTTACACTATGAAATACTCCCTCCGGTCCAAAATAAGTGATTTTTTGGATGTTTTCACACAGATTAAGGAATCCACCTTTTAGCATTAATTAGCAATGAAATTGACCATATTAACCTTTACTATCTCACATAAACACTCCTAACACATATTCCAACACTATTTACTCCAAGGACAATGTAGGAAAAAAATAATTAATTCATTCTTGAAATTCGAAAAAAATCACTTATTTTGGACCACAAGAAAAAGACCAAAAAATCACTTATTTTCGACCGGAGAGAGTAGTAATTCAGAATTTAACCATATGCAATGGAAATTGAGAAAGTTTAATTTCAGGAGGGGTTGATTTCCAAGAATAGAGCTTGTGAATCTGACGCCTATATCCAGTATTTTTCAATTGGCTAGTAGCTAGGCAACTTGAAGCTGACATGAGAATGCACATGCATGCTTAGATCGACTGCACTGAATCCAGGTTGTGGATTGCTTTATGTGTAAATTAATTAACTCACACCACGTAGCATAGAGCAGTGACTGATCCAATTATGGGCTCACATGTTCGACAAACTCAACGCTTTTGAATTAGATCCAGAGACGAACTCATGATTCGACGGTCGCGGGGCACTATAATATTTAATATAAATTTATTACTATTTGCAAAGATTGGTACGGGAACTTATGCTAATATCTGACTATTTTTTGAAGATATTTACAAGTACATATGGAGTTTTTGTCGAAGTTGGGTGCCGGTAACCCCTCAAAGTGTAGGTCCGTATCTAATTAAATCCTATCTATATGTGCTAAATATTAGTATAAATAGAATCAAATATATAGTTTCAAAAATTCACTCTCAACTCAAAAGTCACATGATGTAATTTTAAGATTTACCATTGACAAGCTTTTAGACATGAATTGATTGATATTTAATAGAGAGTAGAATAATTGAAGTTAAGTTGAGGATGATATAGAGAAAGGCTTCTCTTCTAATGTTTTATGAGATTGCACATGCATACAAATAGGGAGGACTACATTGAATAAGGTTGTTGTGTGTACATGTATCCTCACATCACGTAGTATAATGTACATTAATTGTTGATAAGGAGAGAAGCTTCCCTCATTCGACTTCAATGGGCTGAGGACTAACAAGGACTACACATAGCTAAATGATTTCTAATATGTAGATATGATGAGGAGAACCTATTTATCAATTAGTAGTACTTCGATAGAAACTTCCAACCAATGTTTTAAAAAGTGTGGGCGAGAGGCAAAGCATTTTATCTAATATGGAGTGAAGTGTAAGTCCCGAGGCACGCGCGTAAGCCCCATGAATTTTTAATTTTAATATTATAAATTTGTAGAATATATATA